TCATTTTGAAACTCAGTCTCTGAGAGGGGGCGTCGCTCTCGGTAACAATTACCGACAGTATTTGTTGGGAGTGCCCAAAGAGCATTCCCAGTCTTAGTAATGGCGATTCGTTACAGAACAGACGCCCTCACCAGTTGTCTGAAGATTATTGCTTGTACAGACAACTACAACTTTTAGTCCTCTACAAAAAATCTTTAATTTGTCCTGCCTTAGTGCATTCACACTGAATAGATTAACCATGGCAATTTAGGTTGCTGAATAAATTTTGTGATAAGGGGTAGGGGACTTACTATTGTTAATGTTACTGAGGATGATGCACAGCATTAGAGGTAAATGGACACTGCCATCTTATAGAGTACAAGAAAGTCCTTATCAACACAGTTAAAGTTGCTGCGGCCTCATATTTCTACATTTCCATGCAAGTCCACAACACCTTCACACAGCCAGAGTTCTTAATGATACAATATTTTCTGTGTCACATTTTTTGTAGAAGTTACAACAAGCCTGAAAACCCCCTCTGATTAGTTATATTTTTGGTATTTTTTACTGAGCAAAACACCCTCCAGAGACAAAGACCCAAAACTAGGGTATCATGCAAACCCAAAATCCAAACCTAACCGTTCCTGCTTTCTATTTATTCCCTAGACAGGGAATAAATTCTTTATTAGCACATGCCAATTTACAGAAAATGCAACATTAAGAAACTTTGGCAGTATGAGGGTGTTGTGGACTCAGAGCTCTAAGTTCCCAAAGTGCAACTTAAATTTTCATTTGGATAACCAGATTTATTCTTTTTAGTGCAACAAATCAAAAAAGTTCAGATGTGAAATTGGATGGAATTTCAAGAAATCACTTGTTAATAACAGTAAGCTCTTATTTTAAAACTATTTTAAGGTTTGTCAGTTAGTATGTAAGAGAGCTTTTCTTGTGAATCTGCATGGAGTGACTTTTAATTTCCAAACAAGACAATTTGTGATAGGGCAAGCTTCTGTCAGAAGGATTAATTTCTTGGTATTTAAATACAAGTTAGAAGAAATAGGTGGGCCAGAGAAAATTTGGAAATGGCAAATGTAACCTTAGTCGCATTTTTGAAGGTCAGTGGGTTTCTGGAGGAGTAGGCTATAAAACAAGGGCTGTGGAGTCTGTACTCCAAACTCTGATCCTAAGGTATAATAGTTTTTAAAAAATGGATTTCATAATAACTACAGGATACCTTTTAACCCCCATGTCCTTAAAAGGTTTGAGTCAAATGATTATAGCCATATTATTGTGGCCTTTGTATTATATTTTCTCAATGAAAGTTCACTCATTATGCTTTAATCAATACTTATAGGACTATGACAAAATGAAAATTATAGGTTTTTTCATTCTTTTGGGTGAAAATAAAGTGCAAAGTGTTTAGAAAGTTGGAGTTTTGTAATTTATGATGAGGTCAGAGTCGGAACATTTTTACCTAATCTGACTCCGACCCCAGCAACACCAAATTCCTTCCGTTTCCAATCCCCCCCCCCCCCCCTCTCTCCCTCTCTCTCTCTCTCTCTCTCTCTCTCTCTCTCTCTCTCTCTCTCTCTCTCTCTCTCTCTCTCTCTCTCTCTCTCTCTCTCACATATCAAAGTTTGGCCCATCTTTTCAAGAAATAAACTTTCCATTTATTTCACAAAAGCTAAGTTGGGTCATCTTTTAGAAAAATTTACTTTTTAACATTTCATAAATCACTCTTATTTTTCTTGGTTAGAATTAATGTCCAGTGCCTTCTATCAGAAGAAATGTATAAAAGATCTGTTTTGGGGACTTTGTCTCTAGGAGATACATCGCTTTTGTTACCAAATATCCTTACTATAAAGAAATACTTAGTAAAATGCTGTGTGGAGACTAAGTTAGCTTATTTTAGAGGGGTTGACCGGCTATGGAACAAGATGATTGGATGGGTATGTGATTGCAGAACCTCAGGCTTGGGTAAAACGGCTCATAGGCTAAAAGGGTTTTGGTTCATATAGCAATGATTTTGTATTGCCATGAGTGCCGCAGGTTGTTGGTAGGAGTACTAGGGACTTAGCCTCAGAGGGCAGAGTGAGGAGGTGAGGAAGGAGAAGTAGTGGATTTGCAGACTTCACAACTATGTTACACTTTACCTGTTTGAATGCCTTTTCAGCTGAGAATACTCCTCAGTAAATGTCAAGAGTAAGCATTGTAATTAAACAAATTTGGTAATGCTTTATGCTGTCAATATTTAGGGAAGGGTGTGAAATATACAGTTATAAAGATTTAGATTAGCTTGTGCATAGTGTTCAGTTGTGGTTGCAAATAAGGGTTTCTATATCCATTACCACAGATTTGATGAATTTTGTCCAAAAAATTTAGCCTCCAACATTTTTTTTAACATGCTTTTGAATAAATGTATTTTTTTTAAACTACATTGGGCTGTATTCATTAATAATTATGATCCTTTTCTCCAGAACCTGCCCTTCCAAATCAAGAACAGGTTCCGCCTCTCAGCCGTCTTCATTGTCTTCTTCGGATCTGGCCTGGCCCTCCCCTTCGTACTGGTCCGTCACCAGCTCCTTAAGAAGTGAAGAGTGTCACCTATATGTAAATATATTTTGAATGTAAGAAGGTATGTTCTTTTTAACAAGTGTGTATTTCATTGCATTAAAATGAAAATCATAAGCTTGCAATAATAGACAGGTATTAGTGGGCAGACAAGTAACATATACCAAGTGCCTGTTTCTCAAAGGCTTTTTTTCTCTATTGCAGATAATGTCAATACTAGGATTGGTGGGCAGAGCAGACAGTCTTTCCTCTGTTGAATTTATTTTCATTAATTTGATGTATATAACATCATAATTTATACAAGAAATTAAATAAAAGTTCACCTATTTCAAATGTTTTGTTGAACCTTGAGTTACAAATGGGCATGATACTAAAGTATGCAGTGTTATGAAATTTTTAGATGACCCTAATCAAAAATATGTGTGGTCTCATATATTTCTCTAACCCTTTTGTAATAAAATTATGCTGTTTAAATGATATAAGAAGGGTAGGTAGCTGATGCAGTCTCTCGACCGACCTTTTCCTTTTCTTTTCTTCTCTTTTTCTCCTTTTCCTTCTTCTCTTCTCCTCCTCCTCCTCCTTCTCTGCCTCCCTTTCCTCTTCCTCCACCTCCTTCTCTGCCCCCTTTCCTCTTCTTTTTCTTCTGTTTCTTTCTCCTTTTCATTCTCTTTCTCCTCCTCCTCCTCCTCCTCCTCCTCCTCCTCCTCCTCCTCCTCCTCCTCCTCCTCCTCCTCCTCCTCCTCCTCCTCCTCCTCTGCCTCCCTTTCCTCTTCCTCCACCTCCTTCTCTGCCCCCCTTTCCTCTTCTTTTTCTTCTCTTTTTCTCCTTTTCCTTCTTCTCTTCTCCTCCTCCTCCTCCTTCTCTGCCTCCCTTTCCTCTTCCTCCACCTCCTTCTCTGCCCCCTTTCCTCTTCTTTTTCTTCTCTTTTTCTCCTTTTCCTTCTTCTCTTCTCCTCCTCCTCCTCTGCCTCCCTTTCCTCTTCCTCCACCTCCTTCTCTGCCCCCCTTTCCTCTTCTTTTTCTTCTCTTTTTCTCCTTTTCCTTCTTCTCTTCTCCTCCTCCTCCTCCTCCTCCTCCTCCTCCTCCTTCTCCTCCATCTCTTTCCCCATCTCCATTTCCTCCACCTCTGCCTCCCTTTCCTCTTCCTTCTCCCTCCACCTCCCTTTCCTCCTCTTCTTTTTCTTCTCTTTTTCTCCTTTTCCTTCTTCTCTTCTCCTCCTCCTCCTCCTCCTCCTCCTCCTCCTCCTCCATTTCCTCCACCTCTGCCTCCCTTTCCTCTTCCTTCTCCTCCCTTTCCTCCCTCCTCCACCTCCCTTTACTCCTGTTTTTTTTCTTCTCTTTTTCTCCTTTTCCTTCTTCTCTTCTTCTCCTCCTCCTCCTCCTCCTCTGCCTCCCTTTCCTCTTCCTCCACCTCCTTCTCTGCCCCCCTTTCCTCTTCTTTTTCTTCTCTGTTTCTCTTTCTCCTCCTCCTCCTCCTGATTCATTATATGGTAAACCTTTCTCATTAGTACATTTTCATATCTAGGAAAGTTTGGCAAATTTTGAAAAGTACTTGTTTCTGACAGATTGCTATAAACTCAGATTTAGTGTTTGTAATATGTTAACAAGTAACTAACAACTTTGTGACCGCTAGTTCAGACCCTCTGAGAAGAATTAAAAAGGCAAAGGAATACCAACAAATTCAGACCCTTATTAGGAAGAATTTAAAAAACTAAGGGTTTTCAACAAATTCCTTTTCAAGATTTTAGGTTCCTTTACACCAGGACTCTTGTGCAGCTCAGGATTGGCAAATCTTTTGACAGCTTTAAATTAGCAGTAAAATGTACAAGAACTTTGTTATAACACTATCTAGGCCATGCATGCATAAAGCAGCATTTATTTCAATGCCAGGAATATTTTGAGAGCCTAACATTATGCAAACCAAAGACAAAATTATCATCCTCCCATATTTAACCCGTCCTGGACAGGTCACATGTACTGGCATCATAAACCACTTGGTCTACGGGGTACACCTGTATGTGTGACAGCGCACCAGAGCATGTGGAGCAGGACATTCCACTTGATGTGGATTCCTGCGCCCAGTATCTGGCCGTTGCCAGAAGTCACCTGAGTTTATCACATTAAGCACATTTCAGTATCTGTCTCTAATGGCTGCTCAAAGTAAAAATTCCTTAAATTATTACTTTATATAACTGGAGAAGGTTCACAACAATCCTGTTGTAGCCTGCATATCCCTTTAGAGGGAATTCAGTTATTTCAGTACCCTAACTGTCAAATGGAAAGTAGTATACACCCCAGTGCTGGGCTCCTCTTCTATAGATGCCAGGCCTGATTCTCCCTGTTCACTCCACATAACCCTGTCTGGTTCTTGTCAGCAATATTATTGTAAAAAATACAATCACTTTTCACTAGATACATAAAACAAAGTATAAGGAAAATCATAATTACTACTGTTTGGGTAACTTTCATATTGAGCAGATTACTTGCATACATGTTTAATAGATTCTAGATACTGGCTAGACTATCATGAACAAAAATCAGAGTACAATTTAATAATAACCAAAATATTTATTAATGATCTCATTAACAGCAAATATTCATGGCCTGTAAAATGTACTAACAGGGGAAATAAAACAACACTTAAAAGCCATAGCCCATATTCTGATATAAAAATACCAACACCTGGTTGAATAAAATAATGAATTTATCCTGTTCAGTTGACAAGGTTGGTGACACTTTTGTTAGCTCCACTCGGAAATTCTAAGGGCTGTAAATGATACCTTAAGTAAAAGTATTATTTGAATTATGCACAAGATATATTAGGTTTTTCTGTATACATGACTTGGTAACTTAAAATACAATACAAGAGGAAGCTCATATTTTTCTTTTTTTTTTTTACCTGATAAATTATAACTTCACACACAAAAATTAGAAATCCCTTGAGTCTGAATAATTTCATTTGCCTTATACAAGATTAAATGCCTCAGTCATCACAAGCCTTATATATATAAATTCTCTAGTCCTCTTTAGAAATATTGTATTGAGGGAACGCAATCTGGTTTTAGTCAGTAAAGATGTTTATAACACTGTAACATTTTTATCTGTTGCTTAAGTGAGCCACACACATTAACGTCGTTATTTTCTCAGCTTGGGTTATTTATTTTGCTTTTCAGTACTTTTTTCTATACATCTACTCAGAATGTGTACAAAAGTCAAAAGGTTGAGTTTTCTTGCTTTATTGGTACTTTGATACCCCCTAATTGAGTTTGGCAACCTCCCCTTCAGACTGTAAGCAGTTTACACAGAAGGAAACCTCTTACCCAAATCTTAACTGGGAGGGGTGTCCATAATCTTGAAATAAAGAAACCCAGGAAAGACCTACATAATTTGAGCCTTTAAAATGAGACTTATATACAATAAACTATCATAAGAGAATCTACTTTGCTGATATCCAAGATACAGGGGCTGAAGAAGTTTTACCTACCATATAAGTGGGAAACATTACAGTATAAAATCAAATAAGAAATCATTATAAAAAAAAATCCTTTATATTAATGAAACCAAAACAATATAATGCATTCATTTTGTATAAGAATGTATAGAAGCATAACAAACATTAATGCTCTGTACAATATGAACAAGGTTCTCTTCAATATGCTAACCATATTGATCACAATGTGCATGCATTATGGTAATTAAAATAAACATATGGATGCCTGAATAGTATGGTGAAATTCAATACAAAATCTGTCTCTATTGTACTGTATTAATGTACACATCACAGCAGAAAAAACAAACCCTTCTCTCATTTTTATTGTCACCTATCCCACTGTACTTATAAGACCGTGAAACATAATAGCCATTATTTATATAAATACAAGGCATCCCAAAGGAAACATTGCATCAATGATGTACATCTAACATTAGTAAAATTAGTCAAATATCATTCCCAAAACCTCCAGAGGCTTGTTTCAACAAGAGCAAGCTCATCCTCATCACATTGGTTTTACAAACTTTAATATACACTGGATCACTGACGGTAGCTTGAGCACATGACAAGCTTTGTATGCAGTTCAATACTATGAAAGTACAAAGGTAGTAATAGAAAACTTTACAGAATAAAAAAGAAAGGATTTTGCATACAGATTATCATCTGACGTAAACAAAATCCTTCTCCATAAGTTGTATTGGATGTTTGTAAAGACCTCTGAACACCCCCTTTCTTTAGACAATAAGGAGCAGCCAGATGGAGAAATAGTTTTAATGTGCATACCTAATTTATGAGCCTACTCTGGTTTTTACTTGCAACTTTACAATGTCCTATGAGGATAACATTACACAACGAACATGGTCAATCCCTATTATCCCACACCAGATGTATATCCCGTACTACAATACGCACGATCTTTAGTAGTACCAGATCAGCACAGAAACACCTTACTCCAATCCTAACTCTTAAATCCAAGAACCAGTAAATTCAATCCCTGCTTGGCTTTCATAAAAATAACCATGCTTAAGTATGATATCTGGAATATCTCAAACACTCCTGAAGTGATTTGGAGCAAGAGAGGAAGACCCCTGTGCAAGAGATAGGTAGAATATACAATATTCAACGATGGATATTTGTATTGAAGTATTAACAGTACAAAGTTAACTGAAGATCATCATTTTTCAAACTGTCCAAATGGTATGAAACAAATACTAAAAAATATGAAAACAAACATGTATTCCTGCATCATTTCTTTCAGCATAAAACCACTCAACAAAGGCTATCATCCAGCTAAAATTAAAGATGCTATAATGTTACTTATATTAAACCTCAGTACGATAAACTACTTTCCTTTTCAATCATTCCATGCAAAAAAAGAAAAAAAAGAAAAAAAAAAATCACACCTAACATTAACCAAAACAAACAGCACTTTATATTTAAAAGTTTATATTATGGAACTGTTTACCATATCTCACAGATAAAAAGAAGGAAAGTCTTAGAAATAATACTTAGTAAGTATATATATATGTATATATATAAGTATTGTATCATATTTACACATTCTAACAAATGTGTAGATAAACAATTCCATTATATAGCCTTACCATCAACACAGCCTTGTTTAAATCATTCAACTTAAGCCATGTAAGCAGAGAAGAAAACAAGAGAGGATAATGTAAACTCACAATAACTGTCACCTTTCTGAGCAGATCTAATAAGCAGTCATTACTGACTAGTTCCAAATGACATATGAGTGACCTGATTGGCTTTCATAATGCTGATTAATAAATCCAAGTGATTTCCATTCTCACAACACATTCATGCTTCCAATTTACATGTGTCGCATTCACAAGAATTTTAAACCACTTCCTCAAATTCTTAAGCTTATCTTTTCTGTTGACCAATAAATAAAACTTGAGATACAATGAATATGTCTATGTACGTACACTCTCCATACTTTACATACACATGGTTACTTGTACTTGAAAACAATACAAAAACTCTCTTTTTTCTTCTTTCTTCTTTTCACAAATGGTAACAATGGTTTCTTCTCCTATATTTCAGTCAAATTATGCATAGTATGAAGGTGAGAGTAATAAGTCTGTCAGCACCACCAGCTGGTCCTCCGTGAACTTCTGTTTGTGGTCACGCCAGTTGTCATGATGGGTGCGGCGGAAGTTGCTCAAAGTCTTCTTGATGGTAGCCTATTGGAAAACAGGATGGGGGAGGGAGACCGTCAAATTTAACTTCAATAAATTCATAAACAGACTGAGTGAATGAAAGAAAATGGAGGATAAATAAACATGATGCTAAAGATAATCATAAACAAGTATATTCCAGTCAAGATGCTTTGGATATAGTAATATGTTTAAAGAAAGTGAATAAAAGAAATATCTCTTCATCAAATAAAATCCTAAATATCATTCATAAAATTTCAGCAAATATATACTGGATGATTCTTGCAAACTTGGACATGTACAATAGCAAAGAGAATATTATTAGTACAAGAGACATCAAATAAAAACAGGAAAAAAAAGGCCATCACAGTTTTCATAAGAACAATCCTCTCATATGCTGAACTTTTTGTAGGTCATGAATCAGTAAGCAATCAAGAAAAAGAACTCTTTAAGAAAATATGGCTACAACCAAAACCCACGAAATCTTTCATATAAATTAGCAACAGCAGTCAGTAGAGGATACATGTAATAAAACAAGCTAATTAATTTAGACACTACAGCATATATCAAAGGTTTGTCAGTATTTTGATTTTACACGTTGCCTTATCAAAAGAGCTTACCGGTATTGGGTGTGGATCGTTGAGATGCTCACTCAGGGTGACCAATACTTCTGGCATCATATCGGGGACATCGTATGGGAAAGCGCTCACATACGCGCAAAGTCCAAGGATGCCAGCATGCAGCTCAAGAACCTGCTGGGGCGACAATGGCTCTTTTCGTCTTCTCTTCCTCTTCTGGCCACTCTGTAGCCTGGATGTGAACTCCCCCTGAAAGATGAACAAAATGGATAAGTAAAAAATTAGTTACAATTTACTGCATGTATCTAAATACTCCCTTAAGACCTTTCTTGTATGACATTACATTACTAAACATTAACATACTTTTTAATCATTTTTTTCATCCACTTAGCAAAACAAAACACATCCAAAAATCTGAATGCTGAGCGATAAGAGTGCCACAAAAATTCTTCTTACCAAGAGCTTATCTTCAGCCTGAATAAATTTACAGTGGATCAGGCCACTGAGAACGGTGGAAGCCATCTGCCGCACCTCCAGCCTCACATCAGCCAGCAGATCCACAACCAGTTTAGGTATTTGCAGAGTTGCTTCTTCATTGTTGAGGATGGTAAACATATTGGTAAACACAGCCACTTGAAGCAATGACAACACAGCAGCACGGGCACGCCACCAGCTACAGCATGAAAAAAAAGTAAAAAAAAAAAAAAAAAAAAGAAAAAATTGTAATAACAATATACTGAAATATGAAGAAATAATAGTCTGGGGAATGGGACTACAATGACTATGACTAGAACTGCACTGATAAGGATGACAATCACAGGCAGGTGGCTAACAACAGTGGGCCTACACTGAAACACATTAAAATTAATTCTGAATCCTTCTATGAGTTTCGTGTTCTTTCTGAAACTTTTTTTTAATGGAAGTATGGACCTCCTAAGAACAACCCCACAATAAACAAAGGTGAAGAATAAGATCGAAAAATTTCCAACAAACACCCCTCTATTCTAAAAAGCAAGGGACTCACCTGCTATGAGCAACTTGTGTGATGGCTTCCATGAAGGCTGCAATACGATGCGGAAGAACCATAGACTGGCTGATGATGGCCAAGGTAGCTACACAATTACCACGAAGTTCAGGATCATTGTCCACACTCTCCAGCTGGCACAGATATGGAAGAAACCTACAAAGGGTCAGACAAGTTGAACTTTAGAATTACTGGGAATGATAACATACATATACTTTAACATACACATATATGCATCTTAACCCCTTCACGACAGGTGACGACAAACCGCTCGAAAAGTGGCGTGCAGCTGTATGCTTTGGCAGCGAGCCAGTGATTCAGCCTGCTGTACCGAACTCACACGCTCAAAGTCGGCGCGCTGCCATGGTTCACCAGAGCGTAGAGTTTTTTTTTGTTTTGTTTTCTTCACCCGTCACCATTGGGTTAACATACATAAATACATATATATATATATATATATATATATATATATATATATATATATATATATATATATATATATATATATATATATATATATACACATAAATATATATACATAAATATACATACATAAATATACATACATATATACACACATATATACAATAAACATATACATATATATACATTATATATATTATGTATACATACATTATATATACATTATATATATACAATTTATACATACACATGTATATATATATATACATAAATATATGCACACATATATCTATTAATCTATCAATCTATCTATCTATTATACATATGTATATATGCATTAATACTTAAATGCATAAATGCATGATGTATGAAGATTATAAGATGTCCATGCATATGTGTATATGTAAACAAGTAAATATATGTGTATGTAAAGATATTTAACATGTATGAACACATGTTTTTCATATATAATGAAGAAAGTAGTTTTGTCTGTCATATATATCAGCTTATCAATAAAAATAGTGAGACTGCCTGACTATCTAGAACAAAATACACCTAGCAACACTGTACCTATAAATCTCTGGCGTAACACCATTGTAGCAGCGTCCCATCTGCCCCACAAGCCACCTACACACGGTATTCATGAGACGCACGGCAGTCTTCCGCTCCTCGTTACCTCTCACAAAGCCATTTGCCTGGCTTTTGATGTGGTTTTTGTGGACATGATTCTTCAACTCGACTGACAAAGTAGGAATCACCTCCATGGGCTGACATATCACATCACCAGATATATCACAGTTGTCCCTGAGCTTATGTTTAGCAACAACCCTGAGGGCATCTTTGTCCAGTCGCCCACTCAAGAGGCTTGCAGAGTCCAGGCTCGGCAGGTTCACAAACTGCTCCACAGCCGATATCTGACTGGGACCTACTTTATGTACCGAGGCAAGGACTTTGTTGAGGCTATCACTTGCACCAAGAGAGGAGCCTGCTAAGCCCATCATGGGGGCCATCACATCCTCAGTGAATATGGCAAGAGAAGACTGGGGGGGTGAGGGTATGTCTTGGCTGGAAGGGAGAGCTGGGTCACAAGAGACGCCCTCGACTTCCATGTCCTGCATCATGCTCGATCCAGAGTCTTGGATCAGAATAGAAAGTTGTGGGAGGAGGTATTCAATGAAGTCTGCACAGCTAGGGTAACGGGATGGTACACCTCCAGGGAGCACCAGATCAAACATGAAGATTCCTGTTAACACACTAAGAAGGGGAAAAAAAGAAAATCAGATCAATATATAGTAACCACTAAGCATCCAAAATGGTCTAAAAGTCTTACATAAAACACAGATTATTGAATATCTTCATCTAACAAAGAGACTACAATCTATCAATTCTATTACTTCTTTTTATCATGTATGTAATAAAATTTTCACAAAATCACAACTTACCTTCCAATCCTATCCCTAATACTTTTATAAGGGTGAGAGAGGTAAGGCCGGAGGTATTCTAGCAGACGGTGGCTGAGTTCTGCCACTCTCCATTCCTGCTGTCCCAAGCCACCCATTAACATATACATCCGACTGAAAGTTTAGAGAAAGGTCTGTTCAAATATTGTTCCTTGGATAATACTAAGTTATATCTACTAAAAGCTAGCTTAGCCCTCTGTCTACAATTGGAATATACCCCATGCTGAGAAAGGCAATATTCCTGGCGACACCATTATCTTAGTCCAATCACAGTTTACAGCCCTTTTTTTTCATTCTGAAGCTGCACCACAATGGCTTGATACTTTTGCAGGAATTTAGGCCAAAATATAGCACCATTACTTCAAAACTATAAAACCTCATTAATGTATTTAAGGAACAAAAACAAACAAGCCAGTTACTTGGCCATAGTATGGGATAGGAGAAGGGGAGGGAGGGAAAAATGGGGAGAGGGAAAGGCAGTGATAAGGGCAGGGGACAGGGACAGAGAGAGAGAAATATTAACTGCAATTTACCTGGATCCATTAAAAGCTCCCTCGCTGGCCCTGAGAGGGTCATCGAGTAGGATGTCCATCAGGGGAGCTAATCTATTAGGGTCCCTGTCGGCACTAGAGGTGGCCATGCAGGTGCCCCAGTCCTCCACTGTTTCGACAGTCACCTTGGCCATCCCCGTTTGGATGATGGGTTTCAGCATTTCCCATAGTGCCTGGTGCTTTGCAAATGTCCAGTGCTTACTCCCTCTGATCATTCCTGGATGCAAGTAAAATTAATCTTGAAAGCGCTGCCCTTGGAACTTTCCCATTACCTTATTATATTCACTTTCATATTTATTTTACAAAACAGCAAAGTTGTATCTAATAAACTATTCTATGAATATCAATTATTTACAAACATATTAGCTACACAATATACAAGTGAGGCTGTGGGAGAACATCTCACCTGTAATGATCTCAACTGCACATCTTTGGCTGCTTTTTTGGGTTTCACCGACTAGTTTTTCTAAGTGGCCTCTGAATTGTTCAATAAATGTGGAACCAAAGTTCCTGAAGAGACCCTGAAAAACATTATTCTTTACATTAATGAAAGTAAACAAGGTGTCAATTTCTTTGATAAAAAGAAATTGATGTTGTGGCTATATGCTGCTTATTTCAAACATTTCAAATTATTTCTGTGGAAGACATATTGAACATACAAAATCGTTTACCTTGAACATCCAGAATCGACGAGTGTTAAAGCTGTCACGTTCTTTGTTTTCTTCTAGAGAAAGGAAAGATATCAACTTCTCAACTTTCTCCTTTGATGAGAAGAAATCATAAATTTCTTTTTCTTCTTCTTTTAATTCTTCTCTTTCTCTGTCAAGGTTTGGCTGCTGGGAAGCAGGGGCATATACCTTCAGCTTCCTGAAATCAAATTATCATTAAATTTACATTTACAAGGTCAGTAAAATAGGTTATGACTATCTAAGCTTACACATATTTCAGAATTGAATTTGACCTATTGGATCTGGGTAATGGCAACATCTCTTCATGTCAAAATTTGGCCAAAGGGTGGGTGGCAGGCCAGGGTGCGGGGAACGTCTTTCCATGGGAAATTGTTGCTGAGTGGCAGGTGACTGGGATGCTTTGTCATGAGTGCACAAAGTTTTTGGAAGGGAAAAGACTCACCAGGCCTTCTTACATTATTTTCACCAGTACACAAGGGTGGAGTGTAACATTCATGAGCCGTGAATGAGAGAGCCAGCTCCAGGAAGGACACATTACCAGAGTCTACTGTCATCTTGATACAACGTAACAAATGACTTAGACCTTGGAAAATGGCAAAATAGCAAGAATGCATCTGCAGAAACAGGCTTAACAGTATTGCAAAGATGATGCAAGGAGTCTTGATCTTGCACGTAAGTGTTTGCATGGATTGGTCCTACAAGCCACACACCCAGGAGAGTTGCCATCCACATAAGCCTAATCGCTGGATTTTCATCCAAGTGCAAGAGCCAGGCACCCAGATCCAATAGGTTAAAAATACTAGTTCTGGATTATTCATCTTTACCTATTCTAACCATTGTTTATTCCACTGTTAAATGATCTGAAGTAGATTGAAATTGAAAAAAACACTATCTGACATAAGCTATACAATAAAATCTCTGAGAACTGTGGTGCATACACACACACAGACAGATACAATACTTTTGATGCTGACAAAGATGCTCTTTTCATAATCAACTGGTAATTATAGTATGCAGTATGAAGACAAAAGCAAATTAATTTACATACATCAATTAAAACTGGCTGAACAGGATTATGTACTAATATAATCAATTTGACATGTGCTATGAGGTCAAACATTATTCTATAGCCTCATGTCACTGACATAGAAGACTTGTATCAACAATTCAACTGCACTTACTTAGGCCATGTGTACCAGCCATGGAAGGTTTTCTCCACAAACCTAGGCTGTTCCCATTCCTCTTCTGTGGTAATTCTCTTGCTACTGTCAAACTGCATCCACCTGTAAATTAGAGCAATCAGCAACTATTTCATATAATAAAGCCTCTTTTCAATGCAAGGCACTGTTTGTATAAGATTATAAATTAAGACTTCATTTGTAGTGAATTTTAATGCAAAAGAAAAAAAATATGCTAAAACAATGAAATGCCTCTTAGTATCATTCACAAAATCAAGTGTCAGTCAAACCTACGCATTATCAGGCCTGGAGTCACCCGGCATCAAGATTGGGGGAATTTCGTTCTTGCCGCCAACTGAGTACGGGTCAATTTCTATTTTCTTGTGGGGCCTCTTCTGGTTCTTCAAGATCCAGGGCATAAAGAACATAGATGTCTGGAAGAAAGTTTTGAAATTAACGATACAACAACCTGACCTAATTTTCTGAAACTGCTATACCACTTCTCGCCATCAACCCTTCCATAATAATTCTCAAAAATATATCGAAAAAAGTGACGTACTACTACCATAATTTTCCTTACCTCCCTGATTCTTATGTTGTCGTGGATGAGGCTGCTGGTAAAAGCCCTGACGCCCACCGCCGGGAAAGGAATGTCCGGCCTAATGAGCGCACCAAGGAGGTTGATGGTCATGTTGTGGGTCCGCCAATGCCTGTTCCCCAGGAGATAATTTTTTTGTCTTTCTTATAAAGCTTCAAAGCAAGTTTTGCTTTGTTTATGAAATGGATTCAAAAGTAAAGGGTATATGTTTATGCAAAATGGGTATATATGGCATGATTATATATATTAATATATACACACACATTGGATTGTTATAATGTACAAGTATTTCACTTACAAATTCCCAGTCTCAAGTAAGGTGACAAGCTTAGAGACAAGCTCAGTGTAGCGCTGGTGATTTGACTCCCCTCTTTGCACAAGGTCCTGGCAAGCCTTGGCAACAGCTGCCTCTGGAACCACTTTGTTCTCTTCTCCCCTTCCAGTATGCGTATCTAAAACCGTTTCTGCCGTCTTCACTAGAGAATCTGAGATCTGGAAATTGCAATGCATTCTGATTTTACTGAAAAGATACACACAATATTGCTATCTTTTATTCATACTATGAATGTGACATATATTTACATATTCATAAAGAACTTTTATAATCCTCTGACACAAAATAGAAAAAAACTTACATGATGGTAGACGGCAAACAGCTCCATGTGATAGTACACAGCATCTGAGAGAGCATTGAATAACCTAATGATGGAAGGCTTCTCCGAGTGCTTGGTGGCTATCAGGGCCGGCCACATCATGTTCAAGGACTCCCAGTCACGGCGGACCACCAGTGGCTTACTCTGCCTTCCCAGTAAGAGATATAAGCTGCCTGTTAGGATAAAAAGAAGAAGTTACATGAATGAAATGTTTTAATGATATACTCAAATATTATAAAACACTCATACCATTTTTTGTTTTTTTAATGTAAATGAATGATGAAGCATTAATACAAAAAAGTTTTACTTTACTGGTAAGTACTGTGCTTTCATAAATGAGTGTCAGCATATAAATAACTAATAAAATACCATAGCATTTCCCACTAAATAAACTCTCAACATCCATATTTCTTCACACCTCAACACAGCTTGACTCTCCCACTTTATCCAGAATAGCTTTACCCTCACCCATTATTACATTACTCACCTTTAAACTGCTCATGATTTTCAGTTGGGTCAACTTTAAGGTATGTAACAAGGTCTGGCAGGATTAACTTGTACGAATAGGGGAAATACTGGAATAATTGGTTAAGAATGTTCTGGGCTTTACTACGAACCTGAAAAAGAGGAGACAAATATTTTAGGAGGAGAAGAAGCAGTTGTTTAGACTGTCAACATTTATATCTGCAGCCTTTACATAAAGAGGCATTTCAGTTTAGTTGCAGTGCTTCTTGACTACATCATTGGCTTTATGAATGAAAACAAATAGATTGGGTTATCAGAATTAAAGAGGAAAAACTCTGGCTATAAACTAAAGGTGGAGTCATAGTCTTTTTCCCCTTTTTATCTGTACTTTTGGTGTTATTTATTAATTAAACCCTTCCCGACGGGTGACGCAGATAGGCATGAAAACAAACCCCTCAAAAGCTGGCGTGCGGCTGTACGCCACGGCGCCGCCAATGTTTGCCAGAGCGTAGTTTTTTTTTGTTTTGTTTTCTTCACCCGTCACCATTGGGTTAAATTTAGTTAATAACGTGTAATAATCTATTTCTATACCAGGCAATGTGTAATACAGTTTTTGTTATAAAATGCAATATTATTCAAATGGACATCATGAAGTCATATACACCTAAACATTTCTTTATGATTGATAACACATTAACATCTCTTTATAATCGATAACACATTTACATATGTGAGCAAATTTAAAGTATAGCATAACTCATTAGAGAACATAATTATATCATACTAAAACAAAACTACTACAACAAAGCCCAAACCCACTTACTTCACTGTAATGACTAGTTGAGAGATGCAATAAGTTGCTCATAATGGCTTTATGAGTGGCTGTAAAATGTAGAGTGCTGTTCTCAAGCATACGGCTTTCCTGCTGCAGAACCGCACGTTCCACCAAGAGAGAGCGAATATGCTGCTTGTTGCGGGCTAACTTGTTTGCAAGCGCATCCTTGATGAACTGGAAACTCTTCCAGCGAGCATCAAAGTCATCCTTTGAGACTCCATGGAAGAATATCAACCCATGGTAAATCTGTAGGAAGGAAGACTTGTCACAAAAGGCTGTACTATGCAAAGAGGGAAAAAGTGCTACAGTGACATCATTTGAAAGAGAAAAATATATTGAATAAACTGTTTTTTTATGTAACTATAACAATGATTCATCATTAACCAAAGAAAGGCTCAGATGAACAGAACAGTCAGTTGAACCTACATTTATGGCACGGCTGAGTGATTTTGTATCATCAGGTACTTGGGTGAGTAGTCTGTCCACTAATTCTAGAATTACATCAGCCACAGCCTTGCGGACATTGGTGGGTAGATCTTCAGTATCAAGCTCCACACGAAGCACGCGCTCCCCAGTAATGAACTTGCTGTTGTCCTTTTTCACAGCCATCTCCACTCTGATGGGCAAAAGAAAGGCAACATTTTAAGAAAGGGTGTAACAAAGATATTCTGAAAACTAACAGGGAAAGTTTCAAGAAATGAGGATACAAATTAATTACTTATGGTTATTCATTCTATTCAAAGCACTATAATAAAGTATAAAACTATACACTTGAAAATTAGAGGAAGCACTTGGTATAAACATAAATGCTTAAATTTTTCACACTTAAACCACAAAGACAACTAAACTTAGGCAATACATACAGTGTGAGGGGCTCTTCCTCCCAATGGGGTAGTGCCACTCCAGCTCCCAGGAGGATGTCCAGCACAATGCTAAGACTCTGATGCAGAACTTCCCTGTAACAAAAAATAATTCCAGTATCATGTATATGACATATCACATAGATCTAAATATGGTTTTCATTCTCCTATCTTTATTTCCAAAGAAAAAAGCATGCATATAAATAAACCAATCAATGCATGAACAACAACATTTTCCAAAACCTTCTCAAATGATCAGCATCAAAATCCCAAAACCCACCTTGCAACCTCCTTTTCACCCTTGGCCACCTGTCTCAGGAGCACGAGTTCCGGCACAAGGAAGGTGCGAACAAGAGTAGTCATCGCCTTCTCCTCAGGTTCTCCTGGTTCAATCCAGTTCAACCCCAAGTTGTGAATATCTCCAGCTTCTCCCCAATGCTGTCAAGTTAAATTACTAATTACAAATATGATAATATCACTAACTTGTATAAAGCTTAATATTCTACATCAAAGGTATTTGGCAAATAAAAAGCTACAATGTCAACATTCAGAATTTAGTAAATACATTTCAACAAGAGCAGTTAAAAATGACCAACATGACATAATCACTAACTAGTCTAAAGCTTAATAAAAATCAACTATGTCTACTCCTGAACTACTGCATACATCTCTCTATCTTTCCATACCCTTATTGGGAGAAATTCACTCAGTGGCACATCCCACTTATGAGGCATGGACCGGTATTCTGAAGGGATGGTGATGCCCAGGTACTTGAGCAAATATCTCAGAATGGAGCCAGAAAGATGGTACCCTTCTCTGCTTTTCAGGTGCAATGTCAAGGTCAAGACTTGGGTTATCTGAGGAACATATTCTACCAGATGCATGCCACTGCATCTCACGAGCTGAAAGCCAGAAAATGAGTAAGTTAATAAACTGAGGAAAACAAAAATCATAAATATATTTAAAAGATACCATAATAAAATGAACTATAGAAAAAGGTAACATAAGCCATAAAATGAATAAATCAATAAATTGAGAAAAACAAAAATCATTGATATATTTAAAAAGTACCATATTAAAAAGGATTATAAGAAGTTGTAGCATATTCAAAGATATCATAATAAAGCAGTATTCTATTACCAACAACTTGTAAGCATCATGAATTTTTCTTGTACATCAAAATTCTACTTGCAAAGTAATCACATTCATTAATTTATCAAACCAAAAGCTTATTTATAACTGAACAAAACTGAACAAGTGTACGAGAGGACTCTAACCTCTGACAGGAGCAGTAGATTAAACAAAAGTTCATCATCAAGGTTCTCCTCTTTCTGGACTTCCTCATTACTGGTCAAGGTGATCAGGAGGCGACACACACCAGGAACAAAGACTTTCAAAGCCTCTTGTGGGTTGACCTGTGAAAATAAGAAGACGTCTATAAAATATGCAAAATGAACCAAGCCTCTCAATAGTAATATGGTCACCTGATAAATTTACTTTTATACCAAAGTATTCAAAACATGAGATTTTGTCATATTCGCAGGATAAGGGATCTAGAAAATAATTTTATTGCATATTTTATCTAAGGTATCTAGTGATTACCTGAAACTTTACAATCACTGAGTATGTTTACTACTTAACCAACTGGATCTGGATGCTTCATAGCTCAATGAGTTTGTTTACCCTCCCCCCCCCCCCCAGAACTCACTCATGGTGAGTAATTTTCTTATCCCGGCCCTCTGCTAAATTTTCCCATGATGGCATGATCACGTCACCTGTCCTTCAAGCCAAATTTTATCATGACATGATGGTCATGTCATCTGAATCATAGGAGTTAACAGAATACTGTAATGAAAATCTCTGCATCATATTCAAGGTAGACAAGAAATACAGAAGCATGTACCTTCACAGCTGAGCGACACATATTTGCTGCAAACTTTCCAGCAACGTGAATCTCTATCATCTTGCCTTTGATGAAAGATTGAAGTCGCTGAAGTGCTGCCTAGTAAAACATAATGTTATTAGAAATTCTGCAACAAAAGTGGATCACATAGACAACTTCTAAAGCTCAATTGAAAATTGTCACTTCCAATCTAGAATAAATATCCAGTGAGTAAAGGGATAGCACATTTGCCCTAGCAAAGAGCATACCTGATATATACTTGGATGAGCTTGGGTAAGAATTGCTGAAAATGTTGAGGAAAGCCCCATTTCTAGCATATTCTCCTCTCTGTTCATCTTCTCGGTTTCACGGTCAAGTTGCGTTATTTGCTCCAACGCAGAATTTTCAATCAGTACAAAGCAACGGTCCATGAACTGAAGGACAAAATCCTCAAAGCTAGCTGTCTGCAGACACACTTCTTGTTCTATCTGGGGAGAGAGGAAAAAATCTATAAAGACTAGTCACTTTGTGTCTTCTTTCATTCACCAATACCAAATACTTAGAAATCCCTTGATCTCTTTCAACATCTTCATTTAGCAATCATTCACAAAAATAGATCATACATTTTTTCATTTATATGTAATCTATTCTTTTGTTAGGTGTTGCTATGATTCAACACCATTAAGTACAGAAAAAAATAATCATAGCTGGAGACCTTACTTCTGTCAGGTCACTGGCCTCATCGATGGCACTTGAGCAGTCAACAAAAGGCACGAGTGTCACCAGGGTGTAAATAAACTGGAATGTTACCTGTGAGAAAAAATGAAAAGAAAGATTCTCAGCAAAACAAAAAACAAATAATCAACAACAGTAATTATTTGCTTATAATAATAGCACAGCAAGCAGTTTCTTATAACAAAAGCAATACTTAATCATTTGAAAACAAGATGGATATTATTCCCACCCACAACACTGGATATTTACAAGCAAAATTAACTAAAACTATGTTGCTTGATCAAATCCCAGTCATTGACACAGCTACTTACCATACATTTCTTTATGTCATTAGGGTCAATTCCAGGCAGAGTCTGAAGCAGCAGTGGGATGACATGCCTCTGTCCCTCTGGATAATACTTGCCACCCTTGACCATGGCCCGAGCCACACACACTACACACTCTAGGGACGCTGTCAATCGGTGGGGCTCAGTAGTGGTTTCCAGCGAGGAGTACAACCTGAGTTAAAAATTCACTCAAATTCTCATCTCTACCTCATAGTAGCTGAAAGATGGTTGGAGTTTCTGGCTACAATATATATTGACATAAAAAACACTAGAATATTTACATATATATATATGCTATAATTTTACTGAAAATCATATATGCTAATATCTTCAGAGATGCCAAGGTCTTTCAGAAGTTATATTATAATTGTGCAAAATAATATGCAATTTGAATAAGATAATCTTGCACACAATTTGTATTATATCAGACACCTCAGTAATATACTCACTGCTCTAGTAGTGGTGGTATGACGATTTCAGGTCGCAAGAGAGAGAGACGATGGAATACAACACCAGCATCATGTGTCCCCGTGTGAGAGAACATTGCCAACATTGCAGGCGTCTGCACACATCGTACAAAGGCTGTAATTTCCTCTTCGGTTAATTTTTTCTTTGGCTCAACTCCTAGTTCCCAGGAAGGCTTCATATAACGCTCCCTAAATAATGATGAAAACAAACGATAAATATACAGCTAATAAACAAAAAGCAGGCAATACAAAAACAAACCAAAAAGCAAGAACAAAACTAAAACACTACCTCCATTATAATGCAACGCCCTCAACTAAGACATTCCAGGGAAAATAGGCTTTACTAACCGATGTAATCTTCTGATGAAGAGCAGGGTGAGTTTGTTGAGGAACTCGTGCAGGTGGCGGGTCCAGGGCCCTGAGTTGGAAGGATGGTAGTACGATTCTAGAGATTTGAAGAGTCGTTCTAAATGCTGCTGGGTTTTGCTGCCTCCTCCCTGAGTGTGAAGAACAGGATGTAGTCAATTTCATAAATCCAGATTATTTACATGTAGTGAGCTTAACAATTTGAAAAATGTTTATGCTATCATTTACAACATAAGGGACATTTGGAGATAAAATACACACACACACACACACACACACACACACACACACACACACACACACACACACACACACACACACACACACACACACACACACACACACACACACACACGTGTGTGTGTGTGTGTACATATACATATACAAAAAACGTTCAATAAATATGCAGTTCCTTTGATCATCTGGACACTGGACTTGTATGATTTTTTTTATAGTTTCCCCTGAATTTCCATAAACTCTACTCACCAAATTTGCAACAATGAACATGGAAGAAGCAAAACGATCCAGTCCATCACCTCTGCCAACGTGTGTTTTCTTGTACGTCACAGGTAAGTGGAAAGACCTCAGCACCTGTTGTGTAAAGAACGATTATTACATTTCCCTGTTATTACTGCCAGCTACCACTTCTACAACAAAAATAATGTCATGATGCCATGATCCTTTAATCAACCCCTTTTTAAAAATCTGAACAGAAACTGTTCTAACATCATTCTCTATAAATTTCTGGAGCCATACCTTTGTGAAAACCATTGATAGGTGTTCTTCCCATTCAACATAACCGATATTGTGCCACGCAAGTCTTGCGAACAGCCAGAACATGCCATTCTCCCAAAACGAGAAGTGGCTGTTGTGGCAAGCATTCCAGATACCTAAGTATAGCACAAGTCCATTATTTGTTATTCATAATAACTAAAACAATTATGCATGATATAAACTTTCAATTCTTCTGTATTTCACTTCACATCTTCTATAAAGAAGGAAAGAAGAAAAAAAGGAAAGAAAGATCTTTTTTCTTATATATATATATCTATATATATACATACATATATATATACAAACTAATCTTAATCAAATTAAACTAGAAAAAAAAAAAAAAATCAATCATTCACAAACTGTTTCTTTGGCACACCGCCTCTAAAGCTTCCTCACCTAACATCTCGTCCTTCCACAGTTTCCAGCTGATGTCTGCCTGGTGCGGCTCCACAGACGTGGGGAGGAAGAGCTCCAAGTACATCATGGCCCTCTGCATGGTCATGTCGAAGGGACATATCATGGGGCGCACTTGCTCCAGGATCTCCGACGTGGCTCCTGGCGGGAAGTATGTCCGGCACACGCGAATCATGCTCTTGATGACGCATTCAAAACTTCTGAAGCGACAGAATGTGGTCATCAATCCTTCACAAAAAGGTGTTGAAAAAGGTTCTGTTAAGAGTAGTGGTTGCTATCCTATGGGACACATCCTTTGCAATATCAATTTATGTATTTTCCCATTTATCTTTTAGCCAATTTTGAGAAGACAGAAGTTGCTTTGTAAACAGAAGTTTACAACAGACTGTTATCTATAAATTATTCAGTGGTTAATCCCCCAGCCTCTTTATATACACCAAATATTTGTTTGTTAGTGTGTGTGCACATGTGCATATGTGTGTGTGTGTGTGTGTGTGTGTGTGTGTGTGTGTGTGTGTGTGTGTGTGTGTGTGTGTGTGTGTGTGTGTGTGTGTGTGTGTGTGTACGTGTGTGTGTGTGTGTACGTGTGTGTGTGTGTGTACGTGTGTGTGTGTGTACGTGTGTGTGTGTGTACGTGTGTGTGTACGTGTGTGTGTGTGTGTGTGTGTGTGTGTGTGTGTGTGTGTGTGTGTGTGTGTGTGTGTGTGTGTGTGTGTGTGTGTGTGTGTGTGTGTGTGTGTGTGCGCGTGTGTGTGCGTGTGCAAGTGTTTCTGTTTGCATGTATATATTTATGTAATGTATGTAATGTATGTAATGTATGTAATGTATGTAATATATGTAATGTATGTAATGTATGTAATATATGTATGAATATATGTATGTATGTATGTATGTATGTATGTATGTATGTATGTATGTATGTATGTATGTATGTATGCATGTATGCATGCATGCATGCATGTGTGTGTTTGTGAAATATGTCTGTAAATATACATACACATATATTCTTCAAATACTTATATTCATCAGTTACCCCAACCATCTACCCTGCCCACTCTCTCTCGTATACCAAACGTATTAGACAAACTAAACTGTCCTACAGAGCCAAACCAAACAAACTGGGTTGGCCATGATAACGCTAAGTGAGTAACAAGTGTAGATACCCTGAAGGTTTTCTTAATTGTCAAATATAAAGCACATAAACTGGAGGACAAAGGGGAAAGGGATCTAAGACCTTCATGTCCAATGCATTAAATAACCAACGTATGGTCTTCGCGAGTTTGCTGATTTCCAACGTGTGTGAGTGTGTGTACATGCCAGTTTCTGTATGTTAATGTAAATTTATTGTTTTCTTATTGTTTGTGCTCTTGACTGTATGGCATAAAATTTTACATGTGTTTGTGTGTATTTACAATGGTCCATTTGCACACAGGTCTATGTTGACATGCACATGTTTTTGTCAACATGTCCTGTTCGTCAACATCTCCTGTTCTTAAACTTTCATCATAAGTTCTTAAAGTATGAACTAATATAATATAAAGATAATATAATCAATGCTTCCCTAGTTCTTCAACTCCATTTAAGTGTATCAGTTCTTGTAATCTCTTTGTCCAGCTTAACAAAGATATCAAAGTGCAAGCATCAAAGAAATATCCAACATAACCATACATTTTCTTAATCACATTTAGGAAGAAAATTCAACTGTATACCAAAAATACATGTTGTATTAAAAAAAAATAGTCTCACAAGTTTCTCTAGTGATATCACTGGTTTTAACACTATAACAAGTGCAATTATTCAAGTCATTTCAACAAACAACCTGCAGATATATATAATGAAGAAAATATAAATAAAAATATATGCCCCTTCAATATAAAAAATAAAATTTCAAAGATAGGACATCATATCACTTTGAATATCATCATAAAAGTTTATTCTAACAGTCTAAGATCAAAATTATTAGCAACTAGCTCTGTTTCTAAGTGACCTATAAAGAATAAAGTTTATTACCAAGTGATGTAAATACATATCAGTAAAACAATACTGTCATTAATAACTATAGGGAAGGAGACTATGCTTTCCACGAAGAGAAAAAAAGAAAAAGAAAAAATAGTTTTACTTGCAAACTTTCAATAGCAGAGAAATCTGACATTTTTGCATCCACCTTTTTGCTTTCCCAAAGTTCATTAAAGAAAGACATTTATTTCTCAATAACACACTTTCCCATTCCCTTCATCATGACATTCTGACTATCCTATGACAAAATTAAGCAGGAACGGAAAACAAACGAGAAGAAACTATTCCTTAGCATTCTGTATATTTCTCCTCTTTTTCACCCTGGAATACGGAAAAGCTACCAAATTTAATGTTACAATATGTTTCGTTCACAGAGTTCAACTCGTCTCCCAATTTCCCGTCTCTCTATGCTTCTTCCGAGTTCTTTATCCATGCATAAATATTCTGGTCTATGCGTTTACATACAGAAGAAAATATTCATTATATACAAGGGCTTTTATATATTCATTCTCATGCCAACATCATAAAAACATGTCTAGTGCAATAAATGTCATAACTAACAAAATTCTACAACTTCAGAATTTCTACATCCCAGAAGCTTATAATAACAATAACACAATAACCTTACCTGGGAAGATGTTTGAAATAGATCTATGTTAATGTTATAAAAAATGTAAGATAACAGAAAAGAGTGTGTGTGTGTGTGTGTGTGTGTGTGTGTGTGTGTGTGTGTGTGTGTGTGTGTGTGTGTGTGTGTGTGTGTGTGTGTGTGTGTGTGTGTGTGTGTGCGTGCGTGCGTGCGTGTGTGTGCGTGTGTGTGTGTGTGTGTGCGTGTGTGTGTGTGTGTGCGCATGTGGGTGTGTGTGTGTGCGCATGTGGGTGTGTGAGTGTACGCATGTGGGTGTGGGTGTGTGTGTGTGCGCATGTGGGTGTGGGTGTGTGTGTGTGCGCATGTGTGCGTGTGTGCGTGTGTGCGTGTGTGCGTGCGTGCGTGCGTGCGTGCGTGTGTGTGTGTGTGTGTGTGTGTGTGTGTGTGTGTGTGTGTGTGTGTGTGTGTGTGTGTGTGTGTGTGTGTGTGTGTGTATGTGTGTGTGTGTGTGTGTGTGTGTGTGTGTGTGTGTGTGTGTGTGTGTGTGTATGTGTGTGTGTGTGTGTGTGTGTGTGTGTGTGTGTGTGTGTGTGTGTGTGTGTGTGTGTGTGTGTGTGTGTGTGTGTGTGCATGTGGGTGTATATATATGCATGTGTGCATGCAAGCATTTGCAGTGTATACTGTGTGTTCGTGTACATCATTGTGAATCTATGCAATCATCTTTGTTAAACAACTGCAGTGCGCATGAAAACTAGTCTTGTTCTTATCAATATCAAAGATTTGTTTCTTCTTTAAAAATAAAATTAAACTTGATATACTCATTACCATTCTTTCTTCCTTCTCACTTGGTATCACATATACATATATACATACATATATATATATACATATACATATATACATATAAATATACATATACATATACATATAAATATACATATACATATACATATAAATATACATACAAATATACATACATACATATACATACAAATATACATACATACATATATATATATATATATATATATATATATATATATATATATATATATATATATATATATATATATATATATATATATATATATATCAGCTATAAAATCCATTCAGTTACAATGTGTCTATTAAATACATAGTGAATACAAAGGCTCTTTTATATGAAAAAAATAAATAAATAAAAAGAAGACCTTTTTTTTTCTCTCTTTTTATAAAATTCTGTACATAGAAGATATAGAAGCAGCAAAAATAATATAATGATTCTGAATCTAAGTTGAATTAATGAAAATGGTTTTTGAAAAGGATACATACTTGCAGTAAAATTTGAGCTTATATATCCTTTCCAGGATACATTTATGCAAATATCTGCTTACACATCAGTTGATCTACCATCCAACTTCTTGGATTAACTTTTTTTCGTACTAATTGCTATACATATTGCAGAGTAGGGCCTCATCTTTAATCAAGTGGCAAATTCAAGTTTCATATTCTGACAAATATATTGGCATATGACATGATTTATAACAGAAATATCTGTGAATATATTTATACACTTCTTCTTCCTTCTACATAACATTAAGCAAATCTGTAAGATATTCTCAACAAATTACAGTACAGTACTTTTCTCCAATCAAGATCATATTTTACCATCACTAAGCGCATTTTTTTCTTCCGTTTAAAACTTTTACTTCAATGTGTAGTTTACTTTGTGTCTAAATGTAAATAAACAGGCAAACATTCGACTTTCCATCTGTAAGGGTATGAACTTCAGCGTTTAAAGCATAACATTTAACTCAAACATATCATATATATTTAATATCTGCTTTGAAAATTTCTTTGCCAAGGAAGTTTAGTCACTCAGTATTTCAAGCACTGCAATTAAACTGGTACAAATTTAAGTCCTGTGCAAATGCTATATGTTGAAAAGGCTCATGCCCTACCTAGAAAAATGGTGACTGCCTCGCATGACTTCCCTTTAACTGAAGTGTTCGAATTGATGTACTATATATATATGCATGTGTGTGAATATATTAGTACATCCTCAGAGGGAGCATATCAATAGTCAATGACCAAATAGTATTTGTTTACAATAAAATGAATATCTAGTCTTAGGAATCATTTATACTGGTTTATGGCAGGACAGGGTCTTATTCTTACACCCATTGTTGAGACCTGACAGTAATCCATAAAGAAAAAGAATTATAAAAGCTGATAAGAGTATGACTCACTCTACACAACTTTATTCACAAAAACATGTAACATGAGTGAAATGTATACAAGCTTCTGTATGATTTTTACTGTAAAATTCATTACTATCAATATTTCCTCATTTGACAGCTATAATTCTAAATAATAAATAAAAAAACTATGCATACAGATATCAGAGATTAGAAAAGTTATATATATAAAAGATAAAATTTCAGTCATTATCAATACAATACTACTTATTAATTTCTAGGAATGTAGTCAATGACTAGCTAATTATGTTGTCAAACATCAAGACTGGTGGATTTTGCACTTTGTCTCAAAACTCACTATTGAAATGACTAGAAATAACTTTTGTTCATAAATGCCAAGTCACTTTAACACACACAAAAGTCTTAAAGAGAATGCTGTAGCCAGAAAACCCTATAAGGATACTTAAAATTAAAAAACTGCATGCCACCAAGAATTGTGTTCAGTCAGTAACTATTACACCTTAACAGAAACCTAAACTAAAGCGACCAGGACATCTCAATCTGCAATTCATTATTTCAGCTTTGTTTCACATGTAACATGAAGCTATTTAGCCATAAACTCTGCCCTCATTAATTGTCCAACAATAGGATGCTGTCCTACCAAAACCAAGCTTCAATGCCTCATGTGACTAGCCAATAACTGTTTTCTACGACTAGCTCCTTTCAGTTTCAAAGCTCAAACTTCTTGGTCACTGATTGCTGATATGGCCTTGGGAGGACAAACTATACATATATAACTACATTATGCAGAAAGCTAAACAAAAAAAAAAGTGAGAGAAAAACAGATGGAGAGGGAGAGGGAGAGCAAAAAGGGAGAAGCTGAGAAAACAGAGAAAGAAGGTGAAGCACAGAAAGGAATGTGATAAAAGGGAAAAAATAGGGGTGAATCAGAGAGGACAGGAGAGTGATAAAGTGGAAACAAACAAACTAAAGCAAGCATGCATTTCTTTGTGTACCAGACTGTTCACTTCAGATTCCTGTTCAGTTGTACAGATTAGTGTTTGTGTATCCATGTTTTTTTTTTCTTTCCTCTCAATCCAATTTTTTTATTATAATCTTTAAAATCCTTTGTCTTCATTTCTCCAAAGGCTCTGTTATTAATGTTTGAAAAGGAAAAGAAAGGGATTATACATGAAACTATCAAAGAAAAAAAATCAAACACAAAATAGGAAATCTGATGAAAAACTGAAAGGAAAATACAGTATTATTACCTGAATTCTAGTCTATAAACAGATGATAATTTGCCACAAGCAATACAGACATGAGGATCTAGGTTCCCACTAGTAAAACAAAAATAAAATCAAGGAAATACATAAAAAATAATAAAAAAATAAATAAATAAATAATAATAATAACAATAATGATGATAATAATAATAATAATAATAATAATAACAATAATAACAATAACAATAATAATAATAATGGTAATAGTAGTAATAACAATAATAATAACAAAATGAACAACAAAATAAAAGAAAAACAAAGAAGAGCAGGCTTGTAGGACAGCAGGAAGAGAATGAGATGGCTTGGCATAACTTACGATGTTTCTCCCTTCCTACGTCTAAAGAAACGACTGGCTGGCCTCCTGGTCCGC